CTAACAGAACAAAACAAATACACAGATTAAAAAGAAAAAGAAAAAAACACACAGATTTTGCAAACTTGGTAGCTGATTAAATGTCCTTGGACCAGTATCTGGCCCCTTGGAGTGCCTCTGGTGTTGCCACAAGAAGGTCCTCCATGGTGCATGTGGCGGGGCTCAGGGTGCATTGCAGCAGGTGGTCAGTGGTTTGCTCTTCTCCGCACTCGCATGCCGAAGATTCCACCCTGTAGCCCCATTTCTTAAGATTGGCTCTGCATCTCGTGGTGCCAGAGCGCAGTCTGTTCAGTGCCTTCCAAGTCGCCCGGTCTTCTGTGTGCTCAGGGGAGAGTTTCTCATTTGGTATCAGCCATGGATTGAGGTGCTGCGTTTGGGCCTGCCACTTTTGGACTCTCACTTGCTGGAGTGTTCCAGCGAGTGTCTCTGTAGATCTTAGAAAACTATGTCTTGATTTAAGTCGTTGACGTGCTGGATGATACCCAGACCGGGGATGAGCTGGAGATGTCTCTGCCTTGGACCTTTCACTATTGGCTGCTACTTCCCGGCGGATGTCAGGTGGTGCAATACCGGCTAAGCAGTGTAACTTCTCCAGTGGTGTAGGGTACAGGCACCCCATGATAATGCAGCATGTCTCATTCAGAGCCACATCCACTGTTGTAGTGTGGTGAGATGTGTTCCACACTGGGCATGCATACTCAGCAGCAGAAGTAGCAAAGCGCAAGGGCAGATGTCTTCACTGTGTCTGGTTGTGATCCCCAGGTTGTGCCAGTCAGCTTTCGTATGATATTGTTTCTAGCACCCACTTTTTGCCTGATGTTCAGGCAGTGTTTCTTGTAGGTCAGAGCACGGTCCAGAGTGACTCCTCCCAGGTATTTGGGTGTGTTGCAATGCTCCAGTGGGATCCCTTCCCAGGTAATCCTCAGAGCTCGGGATGCTTGTCTGTTCTTAAGGTGAAAGGCACATGTCTGTGTTTTAGATGGATTAGGGATCAGCTGGTTTTCCCTGTAGTAGGCAGTAAGAGCACCTAGAGCTTCGGAGAGCTTCTGTTCTACCATCTCAAAGCTCCCTGCTTGAGTGGTGATGGCACGATCATCAGCATAGATGAAACTCTCTGTCCCTTCTGGCACTGGCTGGTCATTTGCGTAGATGTTGAACATGGATGGAGCAAGCATGCTCCCCTGAGGCAGGCCGTTCTTCTGTTTCCGCCATCTGCTTCTCTGGCCCTGGAATTCAACAAAAAAGCTCCTGTTTTGTAGCAGGTTTCCTATGAGGCGGGTGAGGTGGTCGTCCTTTGTGAGATTATACATTTTTCTCAGGAGGAGGCGGTGGTTCACAGTCTCATAGGCTGCTGACAGGTCTATGAAGACAGCTCCTGGGATCTGCTGCCTTTCAAAGCCATCTTCTATGGGCTGAGTCAGGTTCAGCACTTGCGACGTGCAGCTTTTGCCTTTCCTGAAGCCAGCTTGCTGTGGAATCAGACATGGGTCTATTTGTTCCATAATTCTATGCAAAATAAGTCTCTCCAGAACTTTGTAGAGGTGGCACAACAGGGAGATTGGTCTGAAGCAATGCGTTACCTCATTTACATACATAAACGCAATGTGCCCAGAATTATATTCCATCATATTGGTGTCCAGTTGTGGGATTTTAAGATCCTTTAAAGTGGCGCCAAGATATAATATGATTTGTTAGAGTGGTGACAGCGGCGTGATTGTTTTATTCAGGAGTCATATAGTACAGATGTGTTATAGGAGGCTTTGAAACAGAGGCTGGATGGTCATCTGTCGGGGGTGCTTTGAATGTGATTTTCCAGCTTCTTGGCAGAATGGGGTTGGACTGGATGATCCATGAGGTCCCTTCCAACTCTGTGATTCTATGATTCTAAGGTCATCAAGGGTCCTTTTAAAGTCAGTCCAGCGGGCAGTGCCAAGCCAGGCCCGCTCAGCCTTCCTTTGGAGAGGTTTCATCCTTTGGGAAGATTGTCCACCCTTGCGGACTCTTGGGACTTCTTATCGGAGTTTCTTTGCAGCGAGCGCCCAATTATGCATGCAGCTCCATCTCCGGCGCCAGCTCTGCCTCCTCGGATCTTTATTCATGATCTTATTTCGCCTTCCTTCGGTCCCCCCGCCCCACCACCTTTCCTTCCCCCCTTTTGATTATCTTTCCTCTTTTCATATCTCCAGGTCTCTCGCGCTTTCCGTCCCAGTAATTGCATTCCTTCCCCAGCGCTTCCGAGCCCTTCTTGCCAACCCAAGGCCCCCTTTCTCTCTTCTCAGCCCCAAAGAACTGGGCCAAAGGAGAGGGTGGCTGTCCTCCACTTCCAGGGGTTACGCTGCTAAAGCGCTACCTTCTCTTTCCTCCCAAAAATGGGGCTGAGATGGGACTGAAGCTGAAGGATTTGCTTTCAGGTGTTATTGAGCCAAAAAGCTCTTTCCACTCCATTTGGTTGCAATGGCATCACAAGAGGCAAACAATCCCAGCTGGCTTTGGACGCCACTGGACATCCCAGGATTGTGAGCTTGTCCATTTCAGGATGGATCTACACTACCATATAATGCAATTCAATCTGCTTTGAAAGGCAGCAGACCACAGGAGCTGTCTTCATAGACCTGTCAACAGCTCATGACACTGTGAACCACCACCTCCTCCTGAGAAAAATGTATAATATCACAAAAGGACGGCCGTCTCACCCGCCTCATAGGAAACCTGCTACAAAACAGGAGCTTTTTTGTTGAGTGCCAGGGCCAGAGAAGCAGATGGCGGAAACAGAAGAACGGCCTGCCTCAGGGGAGCGTGCTTGCCCCATCCATGTTCAACATCTACACAAATGACCAGCCACTGCCAGAAGGGACAGAGAGCTTCATCTATGCTGATGATCATGCCATCACCGCTCAAGCAGGGAGCTTTGAGATGGTTGAACAGAAGCTCTCCAAAGCTCTAGGTGCCCTTACTGCCTATTACAGGGAAAACCAACTGATCCCCAATCCATCTAAAACACAGACATGCGCCTTTCACCTTAAGAACAGACAAGCATCCCGAGCTCTGAGGATCATTACCTGGGAAGGAATCCCACGGAAGCATTGCAGTGCACCCAAATACCTGGGAGTCTGCCTATTTTTCAACTCCCTTTCTGGTTGCTCATTAAAATTTCCAGGTGTCAGATTGTTTTCCAAACTCAAATCTTCAGAGCTCACAAAAAGAGGAAATAAACCATCCTCCTTAAGCCCAGCAGGGATATTCTCATGAGAAACTGCCCTTTGCACTGGGGCCTCTTTGTCATTGTCTGCATGAAAATCATTGACCAAACCATCTCCATCTTGCACCTCAGCCTCAGCACCATCATTTCCCTCATCATGTCCCTCATCAAGAGCATCATGATCCTGAGCATCATGAAACACAAACACAGGCTGATTCCCAACAGCCGGACCAACCACGGCCTGTGCCTTTTGCGCATCGGATTCTGTAGAAATGGAGGGAAATTGCTGCAAATTACCAATCAACACGGCAGTCACTGCAATGTGATGGTTTGCAAAACATTGCCTCTAGGGCTGGCAATGAATCGCTCCAAAACACACACAAGGCAGAGTGACTAATGAGTAACAGAAACACTTTGTTTTCAGCATGTAAGTTTCCAAGCCTCGGAAAGCATAGCTTGCACGCTTCCCTTCTCAGTTTCATTAAACGCTACAGAATGTACTTTGTGTACTTGGTTTCAAAGTACAGGAACATGCATTGTCGAAGGCTTTCATGGCCGGAATCACTGGGTTGTTGTAGGTTTTTTCAGGCTATATGACCATGTTTTAGAGGCATTCTCTCCTGACATTTCGCCTGCATCTATGGCAAGCATAGATGCACTACCTCTGAGGATGCTTGCCATAATGTGATGGGCAACCTTTTGAGCTTGGTGTGTCAAAATTTTCCAAAAATCTGAGCATAACTTGGGTGGGCTGTCAACTTCGAGAAAAAACAACAACATAATTTTGCAATATTTATAGTTTAAATAAGAAAAATGTATATTCCATGCTGAGTTACGGAGTGAACAATGGTCAAACATGCAGATGTTAAATTTGTAGAGCCTTTTACAAATTTAAGGATGGAATTAGATTGGCTCTTATAAGGTGTATGTGGTCGTTTGTGGCTGCGTGTCATCAAAAATAGCCATGCGTGTCAGTGGCTAGGAAACTGAGATGGAGCCAGGATAGACGACGTCTATCACTA